GGGTGGAGCAGTCCTCTGCAGGGCCAGGGAGCTCAGAAAGGGGAAAGGGTCTTCTATAGGACCTCATCCTATGGGCCCTTCTGTCTGTCTGTCTCTTTATCTTTCTTTGTCTCTCTGTCTTTCTGTCTCTGTCTCTGTCACACACACACACACACACACACACACACACACACACACCTTCCCCTGCAGGCTCACACAACTACTGTGCTCCAGCTATTCTCAAGCTGGTAGCCTCTGGTAGCCTCCCTGGGGTCCCTCCTACCTCCCCCTGTCCAATAATCTTTCAAGTTGTAAAAACCTTTCAAGTTGCTGGGCTATCATGAGGCGTTGCCCAGCTATAAGGTTCAACTGAGGAACAGGGTCTGGCTTACAGCTCCCCAGCTCTATGGTCTTCATTTCTTCCAATTTCCAACTCATCTCCAGGGATCTCTTAACCTCGAAGACAGCTGGTGTGTCACAGCCCTGCCTCATATCCATCCATAGCTGCCTATCACCTGCAGAATTAAGATCCAACTCCTTGCCAGGCCTCAAAAGCTTTTGTGAGCTGATCCCACCCATCTCCTCTCTCAGCATAACTTCTAAGATGGATCCGTTTTTGCTTTTCTGGACATATCATACTATTCTACACCTCTGCGCCTTTGCCCACGTGGGTCTTTCTGCCTGGAACTGCCTTCCTCCTCCTGAGCCTGCCTATCTCCTTCAAGCCTCAGAACTAAAGTCGCCTCCTCCAGGCAGTCTTTCTTGAGCTCACCTGCTGCCTGCACGTCTGGATGGTGTATATCTCAAATTCCCGCGTCTGTGGTCCTGAGGTCTGTCAGGCAGACGTCACCTCATGTTGTTAGTGTCTATTGCTATGTCTTCTGCTCACCCTCGAAAGAGCTTTGGAGGGCAGAGACCGTCTTATTTCTGAATGGGAGCCCAGGGCAGGGGTGAGAAGCCCCAAAAGCGTAGAGCTCCACTGTAGGACGGCAAGGGCACAGATCTCTCTGTACTCCCTAAAGTATGGGGTGTGAGACTGTACTGGAGTTCAGTGGAGGATGGAGAGGGATATCCATAACCCAGGGGGTGATGCCCTTGGTTGTGGGGTGGAATCCAGCTTTGGGGGAATGAGATTCAATACCAGAGACTTGAGTGAATTTGCTGGGAAGACAGGGAGTGGGGCCTTGGGGACCAGATGGAGGAAGGAGCAGGAAGGCTCCTTCAGGGGAGATGTGTCTATTCTTGGGTCTTCCTGGTAGCCAGGGCCATCTCCTGCATACTCAGCAAGCCCTGTGTGTTCCCACACTGGGAAGACCCAGTGCTCTTTAGCTCAGCCTAGACCCTTATTTTTTCTCTTCAGGGCCCAGCCTGCCTGTCTCCCAGCTACCCCCAAACCTTTGACTGCAGCTAGACCATGTGCCCACAGAAGGAAATCTCTACATGCCTCATGATCACCCACAGCTGAATTCAGAACATGCCTAGCCTCCTCGTTCTGGTAAGAGCAAAGGGTGTCACCATCTGCCTTCTGTCTAGGTCTGCAGGTTCTGTCCCCAGGCCTCTTGTCTCAGCCCAGCAGGCCTGACTCACTCCACCCTGATGTGTACCGACTTCCAGCTTTTGTGGCGGAGCACCCCGTGCCAATGCAAAAGATCCCCAGTGTGAAAACCAGACAGGAGCAGAGCTGGTCCAGGTAAACCCTGGAGCTCCCTAGAAAGCCATTATGGGCCATTCCCAGCTTCCCCTAACAGTGCCCACGTCTGCCCACCAGCTCCTTTGGGCTCTACCCTCCCCCAGTTTCTTCTTGTGGCAGCAATCATGACACTGATTGAGTGGTCTCTCCCTACCACCCAAGAGACCCTCAAGATTTGCCTTTGCAGTCCAGGACCTGGCTCTGCTGGCTTTCAGTGGACATTTGCTGAGTGCCCCAAGCAATGCACAGGGGTTGGAGGAGAGGGACTGCAAAGGTGGTCACTGTAGGAGAGGAGCCAGCTCCAGGGGGAAGGGGGGGCAGTCAGAGGAGCAAAAGGGGTGATCCCAGCATCTGGAAAGTTGGGGCTCAAGGTAGGAATGGGGGACTCTGAGAGGATAGGGTTGAAAGAAGAAAGGCCTCAGTAAGGACGGATTCTGTGCAGAGAAGAAGTGTGAGAGTTCAGGATGATGCTCAGAAGGGGGGAGGAAGCTCAGCACTGGAAGAGGGGTTAGGCTGGTGGAGGACAAGAGGCAGCCTCGCCTGAGCCTTCACAATTCATAGCCAGAGCGAAGGGCTTTGCTCAACTCTTTCTCTTTCCCTTCAGGAGTCTATCTTGCAAACATTTCTGAGTCCAAAAGTGGTATAGAGTTGAGGATTAGAGTTGTGGCTTTTTTGTTTTGTTTTTTTGTTTGTATTTTAGTACAGAGCCCACAGGGTCTCACTACACAGATCAGACTTACAGTGATCTTCCTGTTTTCAGCCTCCCAAGCACTGGGATTACAGGCGCACGCCATCACACCCAGGCCGGCGTGGCACACTGGGGGTCAAACCCTGGTCACTGCTCTTGTCTAAGCTGGTGCTTTAGTCTGTTGAGCTATCTGGCTGGCTCTAGAGTTGTGGCTCCTGGGCCCTCTTGACACGCAGTTGATGGATGTCACATAGCAAGCCCAGTTCTGAGCCCCAACCTGCCTAGTGTCCTCTGTGAGAGGCCACAGCAGCCACACACAGTGTCTCAGTCTCGCTTTCCCTTCCCTGCTTCTCCAAAACCCTCACACGAAATAGTCTACACAGTGGTCACTTAACTACAGCTTGCATTCTGAAGTCTACACAGGGCTTGATGCCTCACACAGGTTATTAAAAATGTGTATCTAGCACTGGGGATGTAGCTCAGTGGCAAAGGGTGCTTGCCTAACATGTGTGACAGCTCTATCCCCAGCATTCCAGACAGACATAGATCTGTTATCTTATTTAAGCTTTACTGTATTCCTGTAAAATTACATATCTGCTTGATGACTTTTTTTGTTTGTCTTGATTTTTAATTTTTTTTTTTTTTTTTTTTTTTTTGGAACCGGGGATTGAACTCAGGCCCTTGCACTTGCCAGGGAAGTGCTTATTACACGGAGCCATCTCCCCAGCCCTTTATTTTACTTTAGTGTGTGTGTGTGTGTTTTGAGACAGGGTCTTGCTATGTAGTTCAGGCTGACCTAAGGTTCACTATGTAGCCCAGGCTGGCCTCAAACTGGAGGTAATCCTCCTGCTTCAGCTGCCCAAATGCTGGGATTACAGGTGTGCTCCACCATACTCAGCCAATAACTGTGGTTTTCTGATTATTAAGGAACAAAGCTTGCCCAGCGGCAGGCACTGTCTTTCTTCCCAGAGCCTCTGTCCATTTTGGATGCTCACTGCACCCAAGTCTGTCTCCACCTCTCCCCAATCCTTGACTGTCACCACCAAGGGTGGTTATTCACATGACTTGGTAATGACAACACTACATGCTGCTGAGGCTGCCCAGATGTGTGTACAGAGTGAGCAGGGAAATTGCTGCATTAGATTGGCCACTGCTGTACCAGTTTAGAACTCTCTTCTCCTCTCCTCTCTTCTCCTCTTCTGTCCTTTCCTTTCCTTTTCTGTTCAACAGACTTTAACCCAGGTCTTAGGGCTCCTGGTTTAGGTGTGTGTATGGTGTGTGGCCCTGTACATGTAAACTACCTGTGCATGTTGTGAATGTGGCGCTCTCTCTCTCTCTCTCTCTCTCTCTCTCTCTCTCTCTCTCTCATTTCAGAAATAGAGGAGATTGATTATAAGCCACCAAACAGCTGGCCATAATACTCACCATAACAGAGGAGAAGGGAGGAAAATCAAGGCCTTGCTGCTGACTAAACCTAACCACCTCTAATTGTCTGTTAAGCCTGGGATGTTCAGGTTCATCATTTCTCTGAGCTTCTCTCTCTAGGCTGAGTTCCGGCCTTGGCTATTCGATGCCTTTTAACCTTCCCAGGGCACCAGTCCCAAGGGAAATCTAAAGTAGGACCGAGCTGGGTGGGAATTCAGGGGGACGTCCTATCTGTGATGTGACAGCTTTCATTACAGGAATGTGGAGAATGGGACTCCAGAGGCCCCTTCCCAGTCACTGTCACACAGTAGCCATTCCCATGACATGGGTTCCATCACTGAAGAATTAAGCAAAAGGTGTGGAATGCCTACTGCATTTTTTTTCTTTTTGGTGGGGGGATCCTGACAGGTTAATCTTGAGCTATATCAAGCTCTGTTTAAGAAAACAGGGTTCACAAGCATCAGGAAACCTGGGTTCCAACTCTGACTCCTAAGGTTTATTTCTTCCCTTTTCTTCACATCTACAAAGATGGAATTTGCTTTTCTTTTGACACTGAGACCTCTTTCTTGCATTGGTAGCTCCTGTGGAAGCTCACTAGGGAAAGCAGAGAAAACAAAGCTGCCCGGGTGTGCAGGTGGTAGGCCTAGACCTCAGCCTGTCTGCCTCCCCATTACCCCAGTGTGGCTCCCCAAATCCTACCAGGTCTGTTTAAAAGCCACAGGATGTGAGGGATGAGAGAGGCTTATACCCGCTTGTGCCACTGCTCCTGCCTAAGATCTGGGCAGGGGAAGCCCTGTTGCCCATCACCCACATGTGCAGAACTCCTGACCCAGAGAGACCACACTTCAGCCATCAAAGGAGCCCTGAACTACAAAGCCAGTGAGGAGGGAACCAAGCACTCTAGGTGGGGACCCCTCCTGAAAGCACCACCATGGGTACTACACAAAGGGCATAATCCCCAAACTGGATCCTCCTAAGAGAGGGATTATTCCAGAAAGTGGCCTACAAAGGGGAAAGCGACAGAGTGAGTGACCTACGATGCAGATTATCTGGACACATCAATCCACTAACTGAATGCTCTAGTCACAGCAACCTACTGTAAAACCTACAAAGTAGAAGTCTGCAATGGTCACCATACAATGACACTGCCCCAGGCCCCCTGGGTGGCCCTCTCCCACTGCCAAGGCCAGCGGTAGTCCTGGCCACACCATTACTCACTCCGCCTCTGCCTCTTCCCCTTGACCCCTCGGCTGCTGGCGGTGAGGTGTGTCCAGCTCAGAACCAGGGCCACCACACAGAGCCCAAGCCGCATAGTCACTCTCCAGCTCCCGGCCCCTGGCAGGAGGGGTGGTCCCTGGGGGGCAGTGGGTGGTGCAGGGCTCTTGCTAGTGCCTCCAAAGCTGGGTCAGCAGCAGGAGATTCAGGTCTGGGCTGCAGCCCAAATCCACCAAAATCTCAACTGTGGACAGAGAGGGTGTGGGGAGCCCAGCGCTCCATCAGCCCCAACCAAGGTCCTCCAAGGCAGAGCTCCTCAAAGCTTCCTGTGAGTGTCATATGGGAGACCTTCGTCACTGCAACAGGCTACCCCACAGACCAACCTGTAAGCAAGGGGAGACAAGGATTAATTCTGTGGTAGCTTGGGACCCCCATCCTATTCTTCAAATCTTCCCCTTCCTAGGTTTCACTACTCAGGAGTCTGTGAGAACTCAAGGAATGACCCGACACTGTAAGTAACCCACCTGGTATCCTGGAGAAGAAATTAGCTCCTGCTCCTCATTCGCAGAATTTCCTGCTCTGACGTTGGAGCCAGCTACCTGAGTCGCTAGAATACAGTGAATGCTCAAACCAGATTTATGGATTGCTGGTGATTTATCAATAATAGGAGCCAGCTGGCCCCACCCCTGACTGATACTGGCTAGCTCACACGGAAGTCCTTCTTTGTGTCTACCCTACAAAGCACATGCTGCGATCATATCCTGTCATTTGAAGAGGAGCTCTGTTGGCTACTGGACCTGTCAGCCTTCTTCCCAGTGCTGAGTCACCCACGTGTTCTTTACCTGCTCCAGAGCTAACGCAGTGGCCCCCCAGCAAGCTCGCAGACTCTGTATGGCCCTCCATGCTTGGCGGGAGAAAAGGAAGTACCCCCCCCCCCCCAGGCACAGAAACTCTGACACAGCAGGCCTGGCAGGCCTGGCTTTTGTGAAGGGATAAAAGAGGCAGCAATGCCTGCCCTCGCCAGAGGCACAGAGAATGGCGATAATCCCTCAGGCCGGAGAAAGCCAGGGCTCTGGACCCAGTGGCTGGGGTGATGGGGGCGGGGCCGCCCTCCCCTGGGAGATATGTTTGGGAAGTGGGATGCCTGGGCCTGGAACCCCACCTGGAGCCAGGACAGGTGCCCTGCTCCAAACTCAGGCTCCACATCCATCCCCTGGCATGCCTGGGATGCCCACCCTCAGAACACAGCCCTGCTTGCTCTCCCTTGTCCAGGGATCTATGAAAACAGGGCGCATATGGCTCATACCACAGGAATTGTGGCAGACCGAGGGAAGCACTGCTTGCCGGCCTGCCAGCTTGTGGTCTTTGAACAGGTCATTCAGTCTCTCTGAACCTCAGTCTCTTCATCTAGCAAATGGGAATAAACATGACTGTCTCACAGGCTTGTGGGGTGTGTCAGCTGAGTGTTGGCTTCCTACTGGGAGAGCTGAGATGCTAGCTGGAGGTGCTGCCCCACTCCTTCCTACTCCCCTCCCCTCTCAGCTCTAGAGTGCCTAGTTCACCCCCTCGCCTGTCTAAGAGGCCCCAGCAGAAGGTGATAAATGCACCTGCACAGGAGATAAATCATTATCCCCTAGGGAGTTGTGTGTCTCCCTCCTGGCCTCTCCCACTGGCTTTGAAGGTCAGACACACTCAAGTGGCTAAGCCGCCTGTGAGAAGTGTTTACACGAGGCTGATGGGTCCCACCTGGTGCTATGTCTGGAGCCAGGAGAGATGCTCCCATCCACCCCCAAATGTCCTGTCAGTGCCAACCCCTCTGTGCCCCTCTAAAGCCTCCCCATCATCCCAGCCCCCATAACACTCTTCCACCACCAAAAGATTATGGAAGTTCAGCTGATTTTACCATCCTGGGGTCTTCATCCTCAAGTACATTGACTCAGAGGCTGAATGTATAACATGGTGATGACCAGCACAAACGTCAGAGTCAGACTGCCAGGCTTCAGATGCTGGCTTTGCCACTTGCCCACTGTGCTACCTTGGTTTAGTAGCTTACCTGGCCTGATGTTTCCTTACCTTCAAGAAAGTTGATTCTTTATAGCTTAAATGAGGTATTATGTGAATCTGTTCAGACTGGCACTCATATACAGTAGGAGGGGTCAGTAATGTATCTGTGGTATTTTGTCTGACCAAGGCTTTCTGTCTGCATGCCTATAGCCACTTAAAAAGCAACATACCATTTCCCATATGGTGTGGATACCAACTTCATACTGGGCACTGGAATGCAATTTCCATGTTTGCCTTTATCTTTGTGGTCGATTGCCCTGGCATGAAAGAAATCGCTCAAACTGATAGGATTTGCATCTAACCGAAGCATTTATCAGGATGAGAGAGGAGATCCCTGGGCAGATCTGTTCCCTCAGTCCCTGCATTTCACTAACACTACATCAGACAAACTTGGAATTAAACCCAGGTCCTCGAGACTCTGGTGTCATTGTGTGATTAGTTTTTCTAGGGTCCTCAGGGAAGAGAAGGTCTCTGTACTTCATACCCCCTCGCATGATGCCTGGAATGAGAGGTTAGTACTCAGCAAATGCCACCTCCACAGACCCAGCTTTCAGCTTGGTCCCTGCCACAGTCACCCACTCCCACTTGAATCTCCAGGGAACTACAATCCCAGAGGCAAATGGAAAAGAGGATAAAGATGCGAATTTCGCTGGAGCAAGTGATATTGGCTTCCCTCACCTCTGGGATGATGAGTTTTAAGCTTTTTTTTTTTTTTTTTGGCCAGGGACGGAATTCACATTGCAAAGGAACCTTCACCTCAAGGGTACACCACCTGACTTGAAGGTAGAAACTTCACACACAGGTAGAAGAGGGGATGGGGGTCAGGGGCGAGCTGGAAAGAGATCAAAAAGAGAGGCATGGTGGGAGAGAAGGCCACACACTGAGGAGGGGGACACCGCTATAGGGTGGACTCAGGAGTAGCAGAGGGATGGAATACCTTTAACCTTCTTGCCTTCCACACTATCAGGACAAACTGGTACTCCATCCCGGGCCAGATACCGACCCCAAAACCTAAGCCATTCAGATAGTTTCTCAGTGTTCCCCTGGCCCATCGTGGGCTGGAGAGTTGTGGCGGCGGAACAGGCTGTGGGGCCAGGCAGGGTAGGTGCCTAGCGCTCCGACTCAGCTCTCCCGGGCCAAGCCGGGTCCTGAGGCGGGTCCCACGGCCTTAACCCCCCGGCTGGCAGCAAGGCTCATTCACGCCCTTCCATCAACGCCCCAGTGCCCACATTTCTCTTCGCTCCCCACGTCCCGGGGACGCCAGGACAGGTGAGACGGCCTGGGCCAAGAGAGTTCTCCATGGCCGAGAGGCCAGTTTCCCAGAAGCCCCTGCCTCTAAGCAGCCGACTCCAACCGAGCTCTTCTCGGACTCCGGCCACAAACGCCCCCACAAGCCCCCGACCCGGCCATCGGTCCGCTCCCCTGAGACCGACCAAAGGGCCTGGAGCGGTGCGCCTCGCTGACCCCGGCCCAGGCTGCGGGATGGCACCGGGGCGCCAGGGACCACGGGTCCTGGGCTAGGATGTCGGAGGCAGTGAGTCCCGAGATGAAGAGTGTCTGCATTAGAGGGATATCTGATAGGGTCGGCGGCCTGGGTTGCGAGCGGGTGGGCGTAGGGAGCCCTAGGCAGCAAAGGAGGGGCGCTATTAGCTCCAGGATGCCTGGAGGGGCAGGACTCCGACGAGGGGGTCTAAAAGGTGTTCCCTAAGCTGGATGAGAGCAGAGCAGTCGGACTTTAGCTCCCCCTAACCAGCTCAGCCAAACCCCGACGGGAGGGCCCGTGGTGCCCGGTTCCTGGGGCAGGGGGCACGGGGCGGAGGTCTGGGCGGCCGAGACGGGACTCACCTGGCACTGCCAGCCGCGCGGATCAGGCCCGAGAGGGCGAAGGCGAGGCCGGCCGCGGGACCGTCCTGGGCGCCCGGCTTGCCCGCGCTCCGCCCGCCCGTTCCCAAATTGCTCAATCTGCGGGCGGCTCTCGCCCTCGCCCTCGGGGGCAGCGCCCCACCCGGCGCATCAGCCCCTGGGGGCGGCTCTCAGAGGCCCTCGCTATTCTCAGGGCCAGGGTCCACGGCCCCACTCCGGCTCGCCGCTCCGGGCTCGTGTCTCCGCCGCGCCTCCGCTCGGCCGCCCGGAGCGCCTAGCCGGGAGAGGGGCCAGTCCGCGCTCTCACGCAGGAGGGAATCCCCCCTTCGCGGTCCCACCCCCAGCTGGCCCCCCTTCTTGGGATCCACAAGAAAAAACGGACTGGAGCGCCGGGCCCGGGAGTCCGCATCCCCCTCCCGCACGCCCTTGCCCCAAGCTGGCGTGCTGCGCCTTGAGCTTGAGGCTGGCACAAGGACAAGTCTCCCGGGCCGGCGCAGACCCTCGGGAAGTTCCGAGCAACCAGGGATCCGGCACAACTCTGTGCACTTTGGGGTCGGAACAGGACCCGGGACCCTAGCCAAACGTGTTTCCCCCGTCGGGCGCCCGGAAAGTTACAAGTAGGCTCAACAGAGCTTTGTGGTCCTAACTACACTCCCCTCCCCTTCGGGGTCAAATTTTCAGAGCATCTTCCCAGTTCAGAAGAAATATCAAGATTATTAGATTCTGGACACTCAGGTGAGAACACATAAACGTAAAGGAGATAAAAGATACAATATATGCTCAAGTTCCCACACTGTCACTCACCAGCTGGGCAGCCCTGCCAGAGTGACAGACAGCCTCGCTGCGTCTCCCGCTTCTGCTTTGAGGGTTCAGTGAAACGCAGGGTGCAGGGACCTGGTTCGCGGTAGGAACTCCGTAAATGTTTGTGGGATGAATACTGAAGGACTACAGACACCTGCAGTGGCCCAGATGATGTTGAAGTCAGGCCTGGAGAGGGAGGAGGGAGACTCGCTCTTGCGGGTGGCAAACAGCTGTGCCCCTGCCTCACTGAAGACTGGGTGAAGGAAGATGAGCTATGACTAGTTAGTGGCAGATAGACCGCAGCAGAAGAGCTGGCTGATGTGGGTAGGCTGGGGTGGGGGCAGTAATCAAAACAGGCTGTGGAATCTCCTTCAGAGGAGAGGGGAGCCCTGAATTTTGAGCCCAGGGCACAAGGTCCTTTGCAATGTCAGGAGAATGGATGGAGTGGTCCTCCGAGTGTCTGATGGCCTGGGAACAGGACAGTAGATAGCCCAAGAAAGTGGAGCTCTTGGAGCCAAACACACAGTGGGGCTCACGCAGCAAGCCTTGCCAGGTTTGCAGGAGGCAAACGGCCATTTCTGAGTTGGTCCAGGCACCCCTCCAGCGCGTCCCGCGCCCCCTCCCTCCCACTCTACCCTGAGCCTTCCCTGTGTCTAACCATCCCTTGGCTCTGCTTTGTGCCTAATCAAACAGCCCAAATGCCGAAAACTCAGTGTTTATTTTATTTTATTTTTTTTACACACTTGCATAACTCCCTGACAAGCCACGCCAGGCTTTGGGCTTTTGTTTGGTTTTATTTTGTTGCATTTAGGGAAAAAAGAGAAAGAGAGGGAAGAGAAGAAATAACCCAAACCACGCTGCCCTAGAAGTGTCTTGGGCCAGGCAGTGGGCTCGGGTTTCCTGCCTGAGGAAAAGTCTGTGGGAGATGAGGGGCCGCTACTAGACTGAGGAATGAGTGCGAAAGGGAAGAAAGCCACCTGGGTCCACGCAGCTAGGGAATTGGAACCATGTGACTGTAATGGGCGGACAATAAATAAAGAGCATTACTGGTGCATCTAATATATGTCAAACATCACGCTCTGTGTATCTATTCTGTCATCTGATTTTGCAGCCATTTTGGTAATCCCCTCACCCCCCTACCCCAGCCACTTCTTGAACATGCAATGCTGAGCTTCTAAGATACCCATTAAGGGCCAGCCAGATAGCTCAGTGACATAAAGCACCTGCTTAGGCAGAGCACATTGGCCGGGGTTCGATCTCCAGAGTGCCATGCTGGCCCCGCCCCAAGGGCATGCTGAGACTGCAATTGAGACTGTGCTGCGGTGGCACATGCCTATAATCCCAGCACTTGGGAGGCAGAAAACAGGAGAATCACTCCAAGTCCGATCTACGTAGTGAGACCCTGAACACACTGTAGATCATGTACCAAATACATAAAAAATAATAATAATTAAAAAATAAGATAGCAAAGTCCTCAAAGATGCACAACCTATAAAGTGGCTACATGAGTTCAGGGTATCCCAAGCGACTTAAGTCTCTCAGCGAAGTTGTATTGTCCTCAGTTTGCACATACTGTTAATTCTGTGTAGCGATGTCTGCTTCCCTGACCTTTTTCTTATCCTTTAAAATGCCTCTGTGAAGTTTTATCTGGCCACCTTGCAGTTCATTCTATGGATCTCTGTAGATCGCATTGTCACTAGCCTGAGCGTGTTTCTTATGCTGTACTAAAGCTTCTGAAGGGCCAGAGAGATAGCTCAGCTGACTAAGCCTCACCCCCGAGGGCACAATGAGAGGGTGCCTGAGTCCGGGCATGGTGGTGTATGCCTGTAATCTCAGCGCTGGGAGGCTGAAAACAGAAGGATCACTATGAGTCTGAGTTGCGTAGTGAGACCCTGTACCAATAAATAATAAATAAATGAATGAATACGTACATAAATGTTCTCAGGAGCTGTGTCTGATTTAGCATCATGATGTCAGCTCTAGGGACATGTTTCATTTATGTCTTGTGAACTGACCTTACCTCCCCCGCACCATGCCCTCCAGCCAGGGCTATAACTTTTGTGGTCCTGTGGCCTTGCTCAGATGATGTCCTAAATTACTATCATGACTCCCCTAAGCCTACATCGTCACTTTTAGAAGATCAAAAGCCAGTGGACTCAGGCCTAAAAATCGGCAAATTGCCTCATACCTCCTCTTTCACTAGGCAAGAGCTGTTTACTCCCTGCATTGTCAATGTATCAATGATACTTTCAAGCAAAAATAGACCAACTCAAAATAGCTTAAGCAACAGAGATTTATTAGCCCATGTGTCCAAAAGGGCTGATGCAGGAATGATCCGGAAGTTCAATTATCCCACTAAGAAACAGATTCTGAGTTGGGGATGCAGCTTAGTTATAGAGAGCTTGCTTAGCATGGGTAAAGCCCTGAATTTGATGCCCAGCACCACAAAATAACAATAATAATAATTAGGGTATTTCCTATATTCTCATTTAGTCATCCTCAATGTGTTAACTACTGCCTTCACGAGCACAGGATGACTATAGTAGCTTCAGTTGCCACATCTTCACCCACTGAGCCCACCAACAACTTTTTCTCTCTCCCTCATCAGCCTGTTCTCTCACTTCACCCCCATCCCCACCCCACCATGGAGTTTCTCTGTGTTGCCCAGGGTGGTCTTGAACTCCTAGGCTCAAACGATCTTTGTGCTTCAGCTTCCTAAGTAGCTGGAACCAGAGGCACATACCACCATGTCCAGCTAGCGGTCTCTTTTTGAGAGTTATGAGATGACACGCCCACCAATGAACTGATCACAGCCAGGAGGGGTGATGCTACTACAATTAGTTTAGACCAGGTGAGGTATATACCTGAGCTACCTGGGGGAGAGTATTTGTTATCGTTTGTGTCTAGGTGTCCCTCCAAAGCCTCATGCAGTCATTGGGGTGGGCTTCTAGAGTTTATAATTAATTTATAATCCAAGGCTGGGATTATGGGTGTGAGTGCTACACCCAGCTGGGGCAGATAGCCTGAATGCAATATAAGGAAGGGAAAGAGGCTTGCCTGCTGCCTCTACTACCACTGCTGTCCCTCCCTTTTTTTATAATTTTATTTTTTTTTACATCTATTATTGTGTGTGTGTGTGTGTGTGTGTGTGTGTGTGTGTGTGTGGCCAGCTCAGCCCACCTGGGGGCGGGGCTGGCTGGCATGTGGTGCTGGGGGATCGAACCATGGTCCCTGTGCTTTGCCAAGCTTGTTCCAAGTAGGTGCTTTAGACCACTGAGCCATCTCTCCAGCCCCTGTCCCTCCCTTTTTGCTCTTGCTGTTTTGCTGGTTTTTGTCACCATGAACTGCTGCCCTCTGCTATTTGCCACTCTGCTCTAGACCCAGTGGTTATGGACTGAAACTTCTACTAACTGTGAGCTAAATAAACCTTTCCTTCCTTCATTTTGGGTGTCAGGTATTTTGACCCAGCAATGAGATAAAAGTAACCACACAGAACTTACAGACAACAGTGGAACTCTATTAGTGCTGAGGAGCTCTGTGATCATTACTGCTACTCCAAGAAAAGCTATTGTTCCAGGAAGCCTGCAGAATTCCCTGCTGTGACTCCACCAGCCACGAAGGCCACCGCCTCCTCACTCACTCCTAGTCATCATCAAGACAGCTGAGATGGCCCCAGCTGAGCTGGCCAATTTCCTGTGCTAAAGCTAAGCTTTTCTTCTTCTTTTTTGCAATGCTGGAGATGGAACTTAGGGACTCCACACATGCTAACCAAGTGCTGTAACACTGAGCTACATCCCGCCCTAAAATTGAAGTCCTAATCCACACATAGAACTTCTTTGTTCCCAGAATTTCTCTCTTGGTAACCAGCAGAGAACCTGATAGAGCAGGAAACAGGGTGGGTTTTCATTCTTCTCCCTTTCTCCCCCATGAAGGATAATCTACTGACAGGTTCTGGTTGACAACTCTACCTCCAGGCCCTTTTCACTTCCAGCCCTCTTTGCTGATCACCTGGATAACACCCCCCATACCCTGTGGCCATTGCAGGCACACACAATAGCCACAGCCAACTCGGGAATCAAAGCACATCCCTTCACACGAGACAAGCCTTTCAGTGATTTTCCATTCCACTTAGAATCCAATCCAAACACCATCCCTCACAGGCCATGTCCCTTCAGCTTCATGTAACACCTCTCTGTCTCTGTCTGTCTGTGTCTGTCTGTCCCCCCCTCCCCACTTATTGGGTTTCTTGACTTCTTTGATAATTGATAATTCCCAGCTCTTTCTCATCTCATTGCCCTGGCACATGTCTGCTGGCTTCCTCTTCCCACAGCTCTTCACATGGGCTGCTCTTTCCTTCCCTCCTGGCTCAGCTTCAGCACTGCTTGTTCTTTCTTTCTTTCTTTCTTTCTTTCTTTCTTTCTTTCTTTCTTCTTCCTTCCTTCCTTCCTTCCTTCCTTCTTTTCTTTTT